TGGGTAGAAAGCTGGCTAGATGGTCGGACCCAACGGGTAGTGATCAACAGCTCGATGTCAGGATGGCAGACGGTTTCTAGCGGAGTGCCCCAAGGATCGGTTCTGTTCAACTTCTTTATTAGTGACCTGAATGAGGGAATGGATTGCACCCTCTGCAAGCTTGCAGGTGATACTTAACTACAGGCAGAGGTAGATTCGTTCAAAGGCAGGGACAAGATCCAGAGTGACAACTTAGACGCATTGGAGGTTTGGGTCACAAGAAATCTGATGAGGTTCAACAATGACAAGTGCAGATTCCTGCTCTTGGGATGGAAGAATCCAAGTGAGGTCCCATGGGAACAAGACTAGGAGGAAAAACAACTGAAGAGGCTGGTGGTTTTGGGAGGGACACTACTAAAGACCCAAGAGCAAACTATTCCACTGCACAGGAGTGATAGGAAGTACGGCAAGGCAGGAGATCTTAAATGATCTCAAAATCAAGAGGAGCTATATAAACAGTGGAAACTAGGTCAGCGTACAAAGGATGCAATAAGCAAATAACACAAGTATGTAGGAGTGAAATTAAAAAGACGAAGGCACAAAACGAGCTCAATCTAGCAAGGGCAAAACACCCTGCACGGGCCGGGCCGGCTCCGGCCTGCCAAGCCACTGGATCTGGCCCACGAGGCAGCAGGGAGCCTCAGGCGTTGCCCCGCCTCTGCATGCCACTCAGAAAAGCAGCTGCTGAGATGTTTGTGTTTGACAAGCTGTGAGCAGGGAGAGTGGGAAGTGGTGTTTCACACACTGCTCCTGCCCCCAGCACAATCCCATTGGCTGGTTTCTGGCCAATGGGAGCTGCCTGTTTGCAAAGCACCCCTCCCCCTTCATCTTGGGCTCATACTCAGAGCACATGGCCCCTGCAGCCTGTGTGGGGGCGGGGCAGACTCCTTCCTGAGAAAGGTGCTGGGCTGCTGGCTGGGAGTCTCCCAGGTAAGTCTCCCAGCCAGAGCCTGCCTCTGGCACCTCAGCCCCTCCCTCACCCCCAGCTCTCTGCGACCCACTCCTACATCCTACCCCACATAACCCAAACCAGACCCTGCAGCCCAATCCATCCCCAACGATTTAGACATTGGCACAGAAAGGAGGCTTATGAAGTTTGCAGGTCATACCAAGCTGGGAGGGCTTGCACGTGCTTTGGAGGAGAGGAGCAGACTTTAAAATGATCTGGACAAACTGGAGAAATGCTCTGAGGAAAACAGAGAGAAGTTTCATAAGGACAAATGGCAAGTGCTCCACTGAGGAAGGAGCAATCCGTGTCTATCGCACAGAATGGGAAGCGACTGTCTAGGAAGGATACTGCAGACAGGGACTAGATGGATTCATGGAGGTTAGGTCCATCCACGGCGATGAGCCAGGCTGGGCAGGGACGTGTCCCTAGACACTGTTTGGCAGAAGCTGGGAACGGGCGAGAGGATGACCTGACGGTGTGTCCATAAGGAGGCCAGTGCCCTCTCCTCGTGGCCCATGGGAAGGGGGCAGCTGAGCTCTGCCCGCTGTTGGTGCAGGCTCTAGGGGCTCAGTGCACTTTTCCATCTGGCAGGCGGTGCTTGGCCCAAGGCCGGTTGGTTTCCAACACTGCAGGTCTCCCTTCCCGCCTAACGGAGGCAGCGGTGCCCTGGCAGGGCCTGACCCACAGGAGGGGAAGTGCGCTCTGCCAACCAGAGCTGGTCAGCCGCCTTGAGGCTCTCCACGGCTGTCTCCTGTTGCCCCTGCAGCCTTCGGCCTCTGGCTCCACTCACCAGAGCGCTCCCTGGAGTCCGCAGAGAACCAGCCACCGCAGACACCTGAGCAGGGAGAGCAGAGCCCCGGGAACAAACCCGCCAGGGCAAGCACAGCCCTGGGGTGCAGCTGGGAACTGGACGGACCCCCTATGGGGGGGATCTTTTACGGGTCGGGGCCGCTGACCGAAAGAAAAATCAGTCGGGGGCCGCACACGAGATGCAAAAACCCAACCAAACCCCCACTGACGGAGGAGAAAGACCCTCCCCACATTCCCCTCGTTCAGCAGAGCCTGGGGGCCGGGCTAGCAGACTGTGCGCTCCAGCCCCGCAGGCTCCCCAATGCTGGGGAGGGAGCCCTGAGCCTCGGGGCCGGACCCAGGCAATCCGGGGCTGCATCGGGCCCCTGGGCCTGGGCTCCCCAGCCCTGCCCTAGGGGTTAAGCAGTGAGTGAGAAAGGTGGACTCAAGGTTGGCGTTCCCTGCAGCAAGGGGCCCCCCCCCGTCTGCCAGTGGAAGGGACCCATGGAGCTCAGGCATCTTCCCAAAGGCCAGCCTAGGAGAAGCGCAGTGCCGGGCGCGGCTGGGCAGGGGGACGCAGAGCCAAGGGGGCGCCGGTGCCATTTACAAAGTCAGGGCTGGGCCAAATTCTCGGGGGATTTAAGCAAAAGCAAGGCACGGACCAGAATGGAGCCCGCTGACTCCCATTCCGACCAGCCACGAGCGCCAATGGCTCGAAATTAGCTAGAGCGCCTGAGGGAACAGCTCTCAACATCACTGTGGACAGCTCAGTCAGGGCATCAGCTCAAGGCGCGGCTATGGCCAAGGGGGGAGCAAGCTCAGGCCAGCCCGAGGAGACACACTGCTCCGGAAGCCCCTACCCTCGCCCCCCCGGCTAGACCAGTCTTCGCCCAGCCGCAGGATCCCTGCCAACTCTCACCTCGGGGAGGGGTCACCCCGCTGTGGCTCCGGTACCTGTGGATGGGACAGAGCGTGTCTCGCTCCCAGACAGACTGGCCTGGGCAGGGTGACACACCCACCGGCACCCAGCGTTAGACCCTACCAAAACCGGATACATTTCAACGTACTTAGGATTTCAGCACAAGTGCTTCCGTCACCAGCATGTGTCGCCTGCACACAACTGTGGAGCTGTGTGTCCTCATGGCACGTCACCCCCTCCCCACAAACACCGGTTTTACTTTTTGAAGCCGGGATCACGTGGATGCACAGTGACACCTCCCTACCTGCAGATGTGATTAATTGCACCTCCCACTGCCACTCAAAGCACAGATCAAAGGGCTGGGGCAAACCTCCTCGGGAAGCCTCCGGTGAAGAGACTCGCAGCTGCAAACTGAAGCCCTCTTTGCCTCCAATGTGAGAGGCAGCAAAGAGGCCTTGAAGCAGGAGAAACTTACCCAAACACAGACTAGAATGATTTGTAAGTCTAGTTCTTACTGAATACGTACTCCGTGGGGCTGCCATATTCGGGCCTCAAAGGAGATGGCTCCAGGATTAACAGACACAGCAGCCAGTGACAGTGCGGGCGGCTGCTGTCTCATCTGAATCTCCAGCAGAAGGGCTCCGTTGCGGTGAGAGGTAGCTGAACGAGCAGGCACTGCCGTGACGACGCTCCTATGCTACAGCAGCATGCAGGAGCTGGACTCCTCTGTGACGCCCACTAGCAAGCAGTGCCAATTCAAGTAAGATGACAAGTCCGGGTGGGGCTGGGGCGGGAGGAAAAGGCCAGGAACGCTTGTCCGCTCTGACAGTGTGAACACACCCTGAGCTGAACCCACTAGCCCCCACAAAAGGAGGGAATAGGAGTCCTGCAGGACGCGGGTGGTTAACGCAGTGTTCTGTGCAAAGGGCTTGGCTTTTTCTAGCTTTGCCAGCACGACCGAGGAGTCATCCAACCAAGTCATGTCTAGGAGTTGTATCGGGCCCGGAGGAGAGTGGTCCTCTCCAGAGGGGCGCTCTCAGATGTGGTTCTCTTGACACCGGAGTCTCAAAATGAGATTTAGTCAAATCCCCCACGGTACAAGTACGCCTGGCCTAGCCAGGGAGCGGAACTGAACCCAGCTAACCGAACGCTGGCGGGAAAGCCTGGGAGCCAACTCATGGACCAGAAAGTCCCAACAGCAGGGAGCTCATGAGCCGCCCACACTCCAAGGCTTGGCTGTCAAGAGCAGAGGACGAGAACAGGAGACCTTGTCAAGAAGAAGGCTTCTACAGCAGCAACCCCCCCCTTCTTTCGCCGTTTCTGAAACATTGTAAGTAACTTTTCAGACATGTGGCCTATGTGATCATGAACCTGACTGGATGGCAGCTGCTATGCACCATGGCCTCTGCTGTTTCCAGCTCCTAGATAACCGGGCCAAGCAGAAAAGAAACAAAAGCCATCAAGTCGTTTTGACCAGAGACTCTGCAGTTGAGCACAAAAATCAACCCATGGTGCCTTAGTCTCAGCTCCCCTGGCAAGGACCCTTGCAGGGAAGCCAGTGCGGTCTGACCAGTGCTTTTTCCTTCAAAAGCAGGGAGGAGAAAACCCTCGGCCTGCCTTGAGCTGTGTAAGCTCCGGGTGCTGGTGACCAAGCTAGCACTATAGGTGCTTGCCAACTTGGAACAGAGACGCCTGAAAATGCACCAGTGCAGCCTCTGCAACACTTAGCGCCCTGGGAACAGCACGAGATTGGAGAAAGAACAAAACCGCAAAGGGACGCCAAGGCCAGCCTCACGGCAAAGCCACCGTTGGTTTGAACTTCTAGCGCTGACGGCACCGTCCGAGCTACATGGTAAAACCCTGGGCTTCCTCTTCCGGGGAGAAGCATTTCCCCACCTCACAATGCAAGTCCAAAGCCAACCAAATAGAAAAACAAAGGGGGGGGGCACAACCACCCAGAATCTGTGAGATGAAAAAGCCCTAGAGAGATTCTGTGGTGGCTGGAGACCTCCTTACACTGCCAGTGAGAACTCACAAGAAAGACTCATTTCAATCAAAAGGGAAGGGCTGACAATGTAATTCCGGCTATTTCTCTACCCCCGCCGCACACACACCTTGGTAGACATTAACAAGTGCGCTATGGCTACTAGCCAGGCTGCCAATTCAGAAAGAGGGGAAGACACAGTAAACAACCGATCTCTAGCCTTCATCACAACAGAGACCGCTCAGCTACAGCGAGGTCTAACGGAGAACAAATGCAAGGAGCAGGTAAATCAGGCCAGCCCGCCCCACGCACACACTTACCCGGCTATATGCGTGTCTCTTGCTCTGGGCCATGATGCCGTTTC